TGCACTGAGAGCTCAGCTTCCATTGCAGATACTGATAATGAGGGTATTGATTTTTCACATCAGGGCTGGAGGGCAGAAGGGAGAGAACAGGGGCTATGAGGAGAACCATTTAATTACCAGGCTAAAGAAAATCTGATCAGCAGGCTATATGAATAAAGAAAATAAGGAAAATGCCTCATGATTTGGTACTTTTTAAAAAGCTCCTGGGAAAATAAGAACAATCAACTTAAAAAGAAGCTTCGATTACATTCTAAGTTGCAGACAATGTGCCAAAAGGGGGACAAGCCTGGAGATAGAAACTTTCAAGTCCTATTATTTTTCTCCTTCCTTCCTTTTCTGATAAAATGACTTTTTGATAAAAAGTCAAATACCAGATACATGGAGAGTAGGCAAAAAATTATTTGTAAAAATGGGAGAAAAATAAGGATTTAGAAGAAATGGGCAAGCTTGTTACGGAACATAATGAAACCCCATTTCCAGACATTTCCTTAACTAGATTTTAACCACAAAACCTTTTCTTAGCTATTCCCTTGAGGTTCTTTCATGATAAGCTAATGAGAAGGCCAGGCATGACAGCCACCCTTCCCACAGAAATTTCTATAAGTTCCTTTTTTTGTTATAGAAAAAGAGTTGTGTCTGGGGTGGACAATGCCCAGTGGTCTTTCTTTCTAGTTCACTCATCTCATTCTCGTTTCCCCACGAGTCCTCATGGGGTAAGCTATAGCAGTCAAAAACACAATCAAAAATTTTGAGTGGGGAGCCACGTCCCAGCTTGAGGCCCCCTAATGGAGGCCTCAGGGACTCCTTATCTCAGGCAGCATCCTTCTCAATGTGGGCTTGTAAGTGAAAATGAAACAAGATGAAAAAATGGCTAGCACAGTGACAGGGGTTTTTCAGAGGTTTAGAGAGGCCTAGGTACTTCCATTTTTTGAGGCTTTTGGTAAATTAATTTTTTTTTTAAAAAAGGAAAAATGCCAAAGAATCTTTTTATCCCCTTCGTGCCAAAAGTTTAAATTTTAAGACTTCAGGAATGTGAAACTCGGTACAAATAGCTTTCTTGGGCCCTTATAATAGGCCCGGATTCTGCCGGTATCTCCACAGTGGAAGCAGTCACATGTCTGTACAGCACAGTCTGATCAGATCAGCATTCCACTACAATCTGTTCTTGGGACTTTCAGCTTCTAGGCATAGGGACCACCTTGATTTTGTATAAATGCTTATATTATTAATGACCATATGTGACCGGGATGTGCTAATAGCAGAGAACAGGATATGAGAATGTTTACAGTGACTGGAGCTCTAAATAAAGGATGAACGACAAATCTGACCCCAAGTGATTGTATTTGGGGGAGAGGGGTAAGAAAAGTGTGTGAGCAGCATGAGTTATATCCTAAGTTAGAAAGTATTACTGACTGGATGGAAAAGCATTCTCTCATCTACCAGATTAGATAAACAATTGATCCATGGAGCTTTCCAAGAATGAATCCCAAGGAATAATGCTACTAATGCCATCTTGCTTGAGTTTGGTCTGAACTCAAGGGTAGAACATAGAGAACCAGGCACCATGAACATACCAGAGTTTGGAAACAAGGAACAGGGAAGACAAATCACTCTCTCAGAGTTAAAATGTCCAAGTAGAAAAGGTTAGATTTAGAAGATCAAAGGAAAATGTCTCTGCAAAACAAAACCAAAAACAAAAACCTTCAAAATCCCTACATAAGGCTTATCCCCTACTGTGGACCAGCTGAGACATTATATAATCTATATGAATGTATATGTATAATTAATATTCTGATAAATCTCATACTGTAAATTAT